TACAAACTCCGCTAGAAAGAAAAGAGAAGACAGAGAAAGCAAGAAATCCAGGGTAGGTTTAGCTGGAATTAGTCGTCGTTGTCCGAAGTGATGGTGTCCATATTACAGGACAGAGTTTGACCCGGACGCAGGTCCAGAGGGTTGATCCTCCTTTCTGGACTCGTTTGGGTCGGTTCCGGTTTGGTCAGAGGTCCAGGTTGATTGATTGTCTCTGCTTTGTCTTGAAGAGGCCGTAGTTAGGGGGGTGGAAAAAATGAAATACCGGTTGATGTCAGAGCCACGGGGAGGGGGAGGGAAGGGAACAAAGTGGATGCAGGCGGACTACGGAGTGGGAAAAGGGTAAAGTAGGTAACAAGGTCAGCAGCCCTAGTTTGGTAGTAGTACGTTGGATGGGGATGGGAAGTTTGGTCCAACTCCAAGAAAAAAATAAAAAAAGAAAAAAAAAATCCACTGTCTGTCACCATGTCTGTGTCTGTTGAGGAGAAAGAAAGGGCAAAAGATGTCTAGCCAGGACCCATATCAGATCCAATAATAAGTCTGGTTTAGCGTCGCATTGCAACCGTCGTCGTGTGCCGCCTGGAAAATAATAACTAATAATATTACCCCGAAAGAAAAAAAAAAAAAAAACAAGAAATTTAGGAAAAAGAAAAATGGAAAAGAATGAGAAAAAGAGACTAAAGGGGGGCGTTGCTACCATCCAACCTACAGGCACTGCTTGCTGATGCTTCTCCGGGAGGCACGGGAGAAAGACTTGAAGGGGGTTTGTGCACTCTCAGTGTGTGAGTGAGAGAGTGCAAGAGTGTGTGTGGTTGATCGCTACCTAGTTGTTGTAAGGTCGGGGGGGCAAAAAAGGAATGGGAAAAATTATTATGGGTACAGATGCGAAAATACCATACGAAAATACGTGATACACACCAAAGCTGGACCTTAGGACTGGACATCTCCGACACGCCGTCCTACGGGCGCATACTGGAATCATCATCATTCACCCGTCCGCCCCGGAATGGAAATTACTCTGGATACATCCATATTGGCTCTGAGGCGACTCAGGCGAGCAAGAGAGGGGAGAGGAGGGGGGGCGAAGGCGGGGGTTATGGATCGCTCATCGCTGTGTACGGAAATGCTGGAACCGTAAGTCGCTGGAACGGGGCAATATGACTGGACCAACGGTTGCAAGGTGGTATTAAAAGGCGTATGGTATGGTATGGAGTTGTCATGGCATGTACTCCATCGGTATTATTAGGTTGATTGCATTTTGTCCACTGTGTGAGGTATGGAACCAGTTCGGATACCTAGGCTGGAAAGGCTAGAATGAGAGAGAAGGGAAGTTGGGGGAGAACTGGGCGGTACAACCAAGTAATCCACCCTCAGCTAGGAAGGTCAGATAGAAATTCAAAGACATCGAAATATGATAGTAACTTTTGGTAATGTGAGGGTCCACTGTCCACTCTGCAGTCTCTCTGCAACTGCAATCCCAGCAAAAGCATCCACTTTTTCTGTGGTTGCTGTGTAAGAGCGCGGCCAAGAGCATTGCGTATGTAAGGACAGGAGCCCCCAGGTAATGGTAATGTAAAAGCAATGGGCCAGTCAGCAACTCCGGCCGGGTTGCCTCCAATCGCCGCGTTCCAAAGGGAATCGATTTGATGATTCCAAGGTCGGCCTAGTCTCAGGCAGCACCAACAAGCGCTGGTCAGCCACTCCGAAAAAGAACCTGGAAATCGATGATGATGCTGCTGATGATGATATCTCTTGTGGTTCGGATTATACACGGAACATTACGACCGGGTGGATTAAGGAAATAAAATACATAACTAATCATCATCATCACTACTCTATCCTTACTAGTAAGTCCTGGTAGTGGTAGTATCATCACCTAACTACTACATAGTCGTCCTTCCCGCTCCAACTCTCCTACTGGCTCGATCGCCGGTTTCGAGATGGGATAGACACACTGGTAACGGAGCACAGTGTGTTTGAAAGTCAAAAAAGGACTGGCCGGATGACGGACAATCAAAACTGATCATGTCCACTCCAGCCAAGGACCCATGAAGGCGCAGGCGGATACCATCAACTGGGTTTCTTGTTGCTTCAGAATAATCTCTCCTGTCAGCTGGTGTAGTAGTTAGTTAGGAGATACGCCGGACGGAAGTCATCCATTGACCGCCGACCCATCCAAGAAAAGAAAGTGAAAGACAAAATTAATCAAGCCCAGCCCAACTCCGCTTTCCATGGTTTGATATGAGAAATTATCGTGTGAAGATTGATCATGGATGACCACCAACAGCGCTTGACGACGACGACGCTCATCACCGTGGCTCAAGGTCCCTCGCATGGGTAAGGGCGCTAAGCAGCCAAGCAGGATGATGATTACTACTTACTATCGACAGACAGACACAGTGTTGAGTGTTAATCTCTGACTCTGTCTGACTCGCCTGTTTTGAGACAGAGCACATCGAGCCGTCAGAAAGTAAATATGCCTGCCTGGTTTCCCCATATTAATTAGTTACTGCTCATATCCGTCGTATTATTTTGTCTCTCCTATTTCCAATATTTTTTCTAGCCTGGTTATGCATCTATGAACTGCATGTTCTAACGAATCTAGTCCCAGCACTGTCTCTGTCGAACTAATCAGTAAGCTGGATAATAATAATGTTATTGAATGCTAGCGGCTAGCCCGAGGGGGCTTAGCCCCGGTGCACCACTGGCCATTGTGCCTCTTTATTGGCCCATCGCCCGCGTCATTCACTTCGACTCGACGGTTTGACTTTTTTTCTCTTTTTTTCCCAGCCAAAAAAGCCCCAAACCCCCGTTGGATCATTTCCGCCTGCGTCTCATCTGCGTTCGGTACTTCGGTTCAGACTACGGCCACTAGAGAATCAGAGGCAAGAACAAGAAAACGAAAAAGAAAAAAAAAAAAAAAAAAGATCGTCAAAGGAAAAAGTAATAATAATTTATCTCGTTGCCTTTTCCTTTTCTTAACCTTTGTCCCGAACTCCATTTTATTTTGCTTTTTCGGTTAAAGCAAGTCGCCGCGAAAGCAAAGAGTCGTCTCCGTATCCAAATCCCCGGTTTCTATCGGACGAGTTGCCATTTGCCTCAAGTTCTAGAACTGACTTTGGGCAGTGTTCAGGGGGGTCGGATGGGATGGATAGACATGTGGATGTAATACTACAGCAGCACTCCGAACATAGTTTTGTTTTTTTTTTTTCATATGGCTTGACAGTTCAATAGTGATGGAGATAGGCCTGGTCGATGCATTGGATTTCTTCTATATGATATCTGATTGGTTTCTTTGTCATGATTCTTTGCCCCCTTTGTCTGGTTCCAACGTGACGGGCGACTTGGCCTTTGCGACAACAACAGCAGATGTCGGTCGAATGGCGTGGCCACAAGAACACTGCCCATATTGAACCCTGTTTGCAGACCTACTAGAGCAGATAATTATTGATGGTATGGTTCAAAATGGATTCAAATAAATAATCGATGGATATAATTTGCCTTCTTGCCATCCGTCACGGAACACACACCCTCATCGGGCAAAGTCCGGCTAACGATTGGCATTGGAATTCCGGAATTATCTACGGAATATGCCCATCAGCAATGTCCACTTTGCTGGACGACGGGAATGGAAAAAGAGAGGCATTCAGGCAAGTCGGGGGGGGTTAATTAATCAAATTGTTGGATGGCAAAAAACTCTACATAGTACATGTAGATTAAACGATGAGTCGATGATGATGATTGACGAGGACTCACCGTATCTTCGATTCGAGTATTGAGGCACAGGGAGCAACACCAATGATGTTGTGATTACTTGGCAGGTAACATCATAGCCAGAATCATCAGATGGAATGGCTTATGGAGATTCTACATTTGGAGAAAAAGAGGGGGGATTTCTGGTCCAACCAGAGGCAGACGACCAAGAAAGAAAGATTATCGCCAACTCGGCTAAAAACTGATACTTGGCCGATAACGTCTGCTTTGGAAGAACTATGGAATCTTGCCTTTTGTTCTCTCTCTTTTCTTTTCTTTTTCTTCCTTTTTTTTTCTTTTTTTCGTGCTTTGTTCCTTTTTTGGTGTATTCCGTTCTGATTGCCTGCATGTACTTTGTACTCATAATTGGGGACTGTATAGGCAGATGAACTCAGCAGAATCATCCGGTTCTGGGCCAGCGTAACAAATAAACAGGGTGGATGTCGTTCCAGAACCCCAGAACCCAGCCCAGATGTCTTTAAACAGATGGGATTGTCAGCCTGCAAAGGGTGGAGCAGCGTTGGTGGTTGTGCCACTTCCGGCTGAGGAAATGGACACGATAACTCAACACGACTCTCCCATCACCAGATCCTCGTTGGATCATCGAAAAGAAAAAAAGATTTGGGGCTGAACACGAAGTTGACCCATTGGGCACTTGGGACTCTGATACGCGGCCGATCCAAGGTCTGAATAACAACAGTAACAAGTGACTCTTTGGCGATCTCCATTAATCACCATATTATTCCCATCTCCATCCATTTGATCTGGTCATTCTGGTGCAAATGCCCGGGTCTGGCGGAGGAGGCATCTCTCTGAATGGCCCAAACGGATGGCTCTGTTCTCTTTGCCACACACAAGCCGCTTGCAGCCCTCCGTCTTTCCGAGTTGTGAGGTTTCTCGTCACCGCCAGGAAAAGAGTATCATGATCATTTCTTGGGACAAAGTACTAAACGAACTAATGAATGTTGCCCTGACTCCATCGTGCTACAAGGCGGTTTGCCCCATGCAGGTCGAAACCATCGTGATCCTGGGCCATCCGACCGTCTGAGCTCCATCCCATCCATCACTTTGTTTCTCCATTCTTAGCCTCCTTGGATCAAATCAAATTAATAAAGAAGTCGTAATAAAAAGGCAACAAAAAAGCAACAAAAAGGTAAAAATAACACACAAAAGCCCACGCGGAATGCTCCCTTGATCGGTTGCTCTGTTCGCCCCCTTGATCATGACTCCGTATCCCTGTGGATTAATGGAGTCATGGCTGAGTACGACCTCATTTCTTTGTATGCGAATTATTTTTACTCTCTCTTTTGTCTCTGCTCGAGTAAGCAGATCAACAGTCACGATCAATAGCTTCGTACCGCGTGAGGCTTGAGACAGACTGCATACAGTAATAATCACTGCATGACGGAGCTTCGACCGAGGGGGAAATGATTCTCGTCGGAGATTTTTCCTATCACGAATCCAGCTGTTGATGGATCCTTGCCCGTGGGTTTTGATCATCTCATCTCCAGTGTCATCTACTCGTTACTGTATCTGTATATTATTATCGAGATGTAGTTCTTACCAACTACCCTTCTCGGCTCCTTGCTTTTTTTTTTTTTCTTAATCCTGGCTGGAAGCAGTGATTCCGTCGTAAACAAACAGATTGGTGTGGTGGATGATACATCACACACCAGCCATGCAAAGCTGCAACCATACAGCTTCTTGCTTTTTGTCTCTGAAGTGACTGACTATATAAACTCTGTATGTCTAGTGCAGTAGGATTTCCTCCAAAAGTTGGTTTTCGACCTAGATGAGCAGCAAGGATGGTTGATATTTGTCAGGACCAATTTATTTCTCGCCGGTCTCTGGCATGTGCCATTGCAGTTACATAGGTACGATCATATAGTAATTCTGCCTGAATAGGATCAGATATGTCGATGCAGCAAGCTTATCAGAAAAGCGCAAGGCAACGAGCCTGTCAGCATTCGCAATGTATAGCATGCAATAGAAAGACTATTCCACAGATGATACAGCATGAAACCTGTCCCCCCGCTCGGTTGTAAAAGAATATGTCGATGGCTTCCACAACATCAAACCTAAAGCAGGTCCCGGTTGTAATTATGTACTGTGTAGACATTTAAAATATGTAGTTTACTATTTATCTTTTGCCTTCTGCGATAGAATCCTCATTCTTACGAATCCAGTTTGTTTCATCTCAGCTCTTGTCCAACGACTCCAAATATATCCCGCCGTGGGACCAACGACTGTCTTGTCTGTCGTCACTGACTTAAGCCGTGGAGACCAACACACGGTAAGGTCTGGGCTGGGTTGTGCTGTCAATAAAACATCATCATCCTTACTCCGTCGCTTTTTCTTAGACATCGTGTATCACCGCCTTTTTTTCATACATGCATACATACATACAGAAACATCCCTGATCTTCTGTGGAGCTGGGACAAAAGTCACCTTGCGAGCCGACTTGTTCCGTCGTCTGAATACGAGGGTTGCTGTGTCTAGTCATCGAGTGGGGGTCATGATGGGCATGCTGAGATATTTCAAAAGATAGATCAATCATGGTACAGTCGATTAAACTCCCCGAAATCATCGACATCTCCTGCAAACGCCGAGTCTCCTCCATATCGTCATTTGTTATCGCCAACGCCGTTTTCCAATATAACCCGATCGGGCTAGCGCGTGGCTGCTTGAGGACAGCGTCACTTTCTCCCCGTTTAGGCTTTGCTCTAACTTCCAGGTCATCGAAGCCATCAGCCTACCATCTTCTCTTCCGTTATGCCGGGAGAGAAAAATTAAAAGAATAGAATAATAAAATAAAAAAGGTGAACTCTCCTGCATCTCCGTGTTTTGTTACACCCAGACGCGCCCCCCAAGTCTGAAAGCCTATTCGACTCGGAACCAGCTTTATCTGACTTTGTGTCTGGAAGCTTGGGCAACGATCTGCCAGTTATCTGTACTATGTATCACTTGTGTCATCATCCCAGATGATCCATGTGAGTGAGATTGCGCGTTCAATGAACCAGTCTTTTTGGTTGTTGACGTCTGTCCTGTTCTGTTTGCGGGGTTTCATTTTCATATGTCTCGACAACACTTCGGAGGCTTTGGGACCCTTTGAACACAACTTGCCGCAGCCATCAGCCCCTCCCTCCTCCGCCTATCTGCCTTTGTTGGGATCCTTGTTCAAAGCATTCTAACCGCGGATGGATGCGATTCTGCCTTGAGGCACAGCACAGTACTCTTTCCATCTTGCCGCTGCGCGCTGACACAGCCACCGCGATTTCAAACTGCCGAAGCCGCAGGATGATGTCCCTGTTCGGGATGGTGGATTGGATGGCTGATTATTTGCCTTCCCACCGGAAGGGACAGAATAGTCCTTGATGCAATCATCCAAGTCTCAACGGTCGTTGACTAATTTTTACAAGTCCCCGTAACAGTCGGACCAGACCCAACAGCGGCAGGATTGAACGTGTACAGATTCCGATCTAGGATCTGGGACATTTTGCATACTCCCTGTGCTACTGCTACAAACCTCGGTCAATGGGTTTTCGGTTCGAAATGATCCGCATTCTCAACTTTATGTCGGCCTTGCCGGTTGACGTTGTACAAATCCAAGACCGGCATATGCAAAGCGCCTACCGTATGACGAGTGCTCATCATCATGACCCTATCGCTCTGTTAGGCAAATTACTTTATTGGGAATCACTGCTGCTGCAACATGTGCCGTTGCAGGGGCTCAAGCATGTTGAACACGGAACCATGTTGAAACTGCAACTCCAGGAGGGTAACTAGCTGCCCCGGCATTCTCTTGGGCGCAGACAAAATCCCAAGACGCATCAGCAAGATGGTACATACACACCGATCGATCGAGGGTGACTGGCATGGGAGTCTCTTCCTCGAACAATCAGTGGCTGCGGTCCCAGGCTACGCTTGGTTGCAGCGGTGTTGCTATTAAAGTCTCACAGGCAGATATTACTGCTTGTCCTCCCTTGGAGTTGGATGTGTGATGCTTATGTTAGCCATTAAATATGCTATCCCCTAACATCCAAAAGCATTATTTCTCAGCTTACATGTCCAGAGAATCGCAAATCCCTGACTGGATGTTGGACTAGAATTGAAGAAGGCACAGTTCACAAACAGGATCAGGCAGGATTAAGCAACCTTGGAAATCAAACCATGTTATACCAGGCCGGGAAGATGTGAGCTGCCTAGAAGGTTCCATCTATACAAAGACCACAAGAATCATATCTCTGCTGCCCACGGAGTGACTATACAAACCGGCATGTATATTTGAACCTGTTGACTACGTACTATTGAAACTTGGCCGTTTTACTACGCCTCCATTGACTACGTATACACGATATACAGAAGACAACTAGATCAGTCAACCTGGCAAAATCACCTATGATGGCATTGCCGTACTTACTCAATGATCCTCGGCTGTACTCGCCTCAGTTTGATGATGCAAAGGCACAGGCAATAACTGCATGAACTAAGGCACGCCACAGGGATATATTACCTTGCCACTGTCGATATCATATTCCATCCGATGTGGTGTAGTGGTTAACATCGTCGTCTCTCACACGACAGCCCGGGGTTCGATTCCCCGTGTCGGAACTTGATCATTCATTTCTTTTTTGTTTTTTATACATTTCTTTTCTTCCTTTTTTTTTTTTCTTTCTTTCTTTTTTTT